GTGCGAGTTAAAGGCACGCTCCGCGATCAGGCGGGCTCGCCTGTTCCATCCAGGGGTAGTAGGCAGGTGGACAAGTGTTGATGTCGGGCCCCTTTTGCGGCTTGAAAGTACGCGACAAAGGCGCAAGGAGCTCGTCCAACCCGCAACTCACACCTTCGTCCGCAAGCCCCACCCTTCGCTGTCGGTTGCCACGTGGCGCTGCTTGAAAAGCGCGGGCGCATTTGAGGCAGTGGTCCCAGCGCGATCCAATGTTATTGACACTGGAGCAAGTAGAGTTAGGTTCGTGAAACTCGTCCAATTCGCCTCTTCTCTATCCAAGGTGGAATGTGGCTGAAATAGGGGAGGTCTCTGTACGGGGCGTAATCGGTGGTTTCGTTTGCTTTCCTTCTCTTTTACAGACCACCTCACCTATAGCTTCATAACTGAACGCTTTTCCACACCTATTTTATCCCGAATCTTGCCTTTAAGGAGTGGAGTAACAAATCACTGCTTCGTAGTTTCTCGATTAGTTCATGACCTCAAGTTTGACGAAAAGCTCGTTTTTAGGAGTAGTTTGCTCCCCAAACATGACGAAGTGTGAAACGAAACCCAAATTATGTTTGGAAGTCGCTTTCAGAGCAAATAAGCCCTATTCAGACTTCCTACTGTATTTTGCCACAAGTCTCAAGATGAGCGACTCTGATAAGATTGTTAGCATTGTTCCATCTCCTGTACTTCTTACGATAAATTAGAGAATCGGGTCACTGAACACGGCTCACGCTCGGTCTCTCGTCTTGACCACGACCGCTAGCGCAAACGTCGCGCACGCGACTTCACTTGCGACGCCGTTGTCGCCGCGTGGTGTCCGGCCTAATTCGGAATTAGGCCCAGCCCCCTCCTAATAATTGATGGTGACTATAATATCTTTGGAGCAGGTTAGACATGGATATCCTCTTAAGACCCGAAGATTTGTCGAGCGGGCGAGTTTCATTGTAGAGGCTAAAGTTTCCAATAATCGGAGCTTCTCAAAATCCAAATTTCTAAAGACACAATTTTTTAACGTCTGAAACATTTCGTTTTTTACGTCTCCTTCTATCCCACAGTAGTCAATTTATCCTAACAAATGCAAAACACAATCTCCACAAGCGATTCACTCAGACTAATCGTTGACCCTTCATTCTATCTTCCATCCCAGCGCAGTGAGCTTTTACCTCTCATTTCAGGCTAAATTTTAGGCCATTTTAGGCTTCTGAAAACCGTCTCCAATTGTAACGTTTCTTCAGGCTGTTCTGCGTTGTGTGTTGGCGTATTTCACCAACAAAAGTCCCGAAGAGCTACCGTATATCAACGTGCCGCTGCATACGGTTATCAAACTGACTCCGAAGGCGTACTCCTGTATCGTGGAAATGTTCCAGTTTGATGTTGATGCGGTAAATACGCATCGAGATAAGCCAGAAGAAGTGGTGAGTTCAAATTTTTGAAGCTTCTAAATTGTTAGAAATGACGTGGCTCTGAAGCTTGGCTAATTACCAGCAGAATAACGCTCCCCGATCGCTTCATCAGTCAAAATTATGAAAACTCAAAAGTTAAGCTGTGTAATTCTGATTTTAATAGTATAGTATATATAGTTGATATATAGTGCTTTCTTCAACTCTTGTCTATAAGCCTGCAAGAGACTGCGAGCAGTTGCTGACAAGTTAGCCTCTGCTCCCGCATGACTGTTCTCTTCGCCCGTAGCGTGCGTGCCACACGTTTTCGCGCAAAACGAATCCGATATTCGTTATCAGGGTGCCAAGTTACCTCATAGAACAAATTTTCAGCAAAATCTGAAATTTTGACCTAACCTGAAAAGTTGACGAGGAGCAGTGGCTGAGCTTGTCAGCAACTGCTGCCAAACTCTTCGTGCAGGTAATTCTAGGTAACTATCGCTACTATATATAAGCGCTAAGTCTGTCTGTCCGTCTGTCTGTGTGTGTGTCACGAAATTCATAGCACGCGGACCAGTGGTCGTCAGGAGTTGATTTCAAGATATATAGGGGGTGGGACGGGAACATATTTGGTGGGGTACAGAAAGTGATAACAACTGATAAGGGCTGATAAGAGGCGCTAGAACGCAAGTGTCGCGAAATTCATAGCGCGCGTCCAGCAGCAGTGGGGCGTTGGTTCCAAGAAGTGATGTACAGGATGGGACCAGGGTCAACCCTACGTTGCTACAAGTAACAACGGGGGGGGGGTCGTAGTTTGTTGAAGTTTGTGGTGGGGGTCGTACTTGTTTCGATAAAACAACATGTATAAAGTTTTCTCAGAAAAGTAGCAGATAAAAGTAAGGAACAAACTCGCAAAGGAACCGATCTTAC